TTTATAAGTGAACGTAATAACTTTAGAGCTTTGCTCTGTGAAGAAAATAATTCCTATTTCGTAATTTTTTTTAAATATAGAACTCCCACGGTATAGTCATAATTCTATATACTAGGAAATTATAATGATAAATCCTCTAAGAAACGCCATCTTCATACGTATACTGGAACCGAGAAGTGTGTGCTGTCGAAAATTCTACCACCCTTGGCCTTTAGAAATCGAGAATTTAGAACATACAAGGTGTACTTTTGAAATCGTGTCATTTTTCAAGGTTTTCGTGTCAGGTTCAATGCAAGAGAAGATTTCGGGCCAATACCTAGTTAAAAATACGTCTATAATAAATAGTTTAAGTTCGACAGTATTTCAGAATAAGCGACAGTAATGTTTCTTAGTGGAGTTTTATGGAATTAGGAATAATATTAAATACATGTCTGAGTTTGTGTGTGTTAAGCCGCGTTATAAAGCTAGTTATAAGACGGCGGCGTTAATGGATTTCCGTAATTTCGGAAAAATGAAAAATATTTACCTACTATTTTTTTTATTGATTCGGACTCAGAATCGATGGCCGAGTTACCTCCTAGAAAATGACGCGGCTTTAAAACAACACCTTGTATTTACAAAAATGTAAATACTTCTTCTAAATACCGAATGTTCAGTTATGTTTCTGCCAGCGACAGAGGGTGCAAATGGAAACTATGATCATTTTACTAAATTTATTATAATTAAAATTACATGTTAATTCCTAAAATCTAACTAACCTAAGTGCGAATGTGTTCGATGTTGGAACAACACTGATTTCTTTTCTTAAAATTATTTCGAAAGAAGGTTTTCAATAAAACCTATTGAGGTTAAATTTAGTGGGGTGATTGATGATGCAGCGATTCGCAGCTGGGCACGAGGCGGTGACATGAGGTGACGACTCAGCAGTTTAGGTGTTGCAATACTTCGTTGCATCAAAGTAGGTCTAACGTCCTGATTCAGCAGATATGCTCCTCGTGGCACGGCGTTGATCACGGTGTAGGTACATGTGTCGGCACCGATACGTAACATCTCCACCCTCAGAACAGCAACTATTCGAAGACTAACGTTGAGAATAGTGCTGATCGCTATTCCGTGGTTTGTCCTTTTGAGTTCTTCGATTTCTCTCTCGATTTTGCAGATAGGATGGAGAACGGGTGTTCCTGTCAGACTAAATTTTATCAATTGAAATACACCTTTCCGATAGTAGCGATAAATTTTAGCTGACCAATTGCTTATGTGCAACTTCGATGACGAACATTTTTGCCTGTGGTGTAGATATTCGATCCCTCTTCAAGGTAAAGTTTTATTCCTTTGTTCATTACTTAGTCATTCATTAGTTATTGCTGTAGTGCCGGCGCTATAGATTTCGCTTTTTTTTTGTTAATTATATAATTTTTTCCTCAATATGGAGTATAGGCTTTTGTCAGAGTGTGAAACTGGTCCGGCAGTGCGCCTTTATGGCCAGGCTCATGGGGAGGAAATCATGATGTCCGTACTGACCATTGATGGTGTAGTCCATTACGACGACGGAACATGCGTGCGCGCGATGGTCTTCCAACCTGTGGATGCCTTCCTGGGTGGTCTACTGCTCGAACACGGGTAATTTGTGAGCGACGAAGAGGGGCCACCGCGTAATTATACGAATGATTTGGGCCTCGCTCACATGTATCGTAACCACTTACTGCTGGTTGCCTTGGAGGAGGGGGACATCCCGATGCCGCGCTGGAGTGCAGCGGGGTAGTTGCTCCACTTAAATTATATTAATGTATGTTCTTTTCTTTTCCTTAATATCTTCTACTTTTTGATTTCTTGATTCCATTTGCCATATCAATGTCTGGATATCCTCTGCTGTGGCTTCACGTAGATTCTGGATATTCGTACGGTGCTTGATAGCGACCCGGGTAGCTCGCGATCACAAATATCGATATTAGATAATTTTAACGCGCTCGCGAACCGGCCCGCGAATATCCTACCGACTGCGCCAGTTATGTTTCTGCCAGCGACAGAGGGTGCAAATGGAAACTATGATCATTTTACTAAATTTATTATAATTAAAATTACATGTTAATTCCTAAAATCTAACTAACCTAAGTGCGAATGTGTTCGATGTTGGAACAACACTGATTTCTTTTCTTAAAATTATTTCGAAAGAAGGTTTTCAATAAAACCTATTGAGGTTAAATTTAGTGGGGTGATTGATGATGCAGCGATTCGCAGCTGGGCACGAGGCGGTGACATGAGGTGACGACTCAGCAGTTTAGGTGTTGCAATACTTCGTTGCATCAAAGTAGGTCTAACGTCCTGATTCAGCAGATATGCTCCTCGTGACACGGCGTTGATCACGGTGTAGGTACATGTGTCGGCACCGATACGTAACAGTTCTCTAAATATAATGTTAACATCGTTTTAATATTATTTGGGCACAAACGCTAAGTTAGACGTTCATTAATTAAGATCGACGCTGATATAAAACAATTTATGCCTTCATCGTTGCTTGTTGTGCCCACTGTGCCCAATTTAATTACGTGGCGATCGTTATCAATAACAAATAGTTTGTTTACAACACCTATATAAGTTTCACCACTGTGGGGGAGAAGATGGAAATATTGTCGCTCTATTACATGACAGACAAAAGTCAATATTAACATAAAATTAAAAGTTTGTTTTATTTGTTATTTTCACCTTAAACTCCTTGACAATGTAATGTAAGATTTCTATCAATTTTATCAATGGACTAGCTACCTTCACACAATTTCGCCCACCCTACTCAACACCCATTCATCATAACGTTTATAGCCTATAGGCCTATACCTAATATTTTTATGATGTTAGCATATTCCTCGATAAATAGGTTATGGGTCCATAATAAAAAGATTTTTTCAAATTAGACCAGTCGTTCCTGGGATTTTCGCGTGCAAACAAACAAGCTCTTCAGATTTATAGAGGTATAATAGTAATATCAGTAAATAAAATGAGGTTGCAGCACAACGTATTTATACATAAGATTAACAGAGGTTTATAATCTACACCTTTTTATTTTAACTGCCTCGTTGGCCGAGTGGTCGCAAGTGCGACTGCCGACCCGGGAATCGAACCCGAGACCCCTTGTCGGGCAAAGTATTACTGGGTTTTTTTATAAATTCTCAGTAGTAGCACGGAGTCTGGAATTGTGTCCGGTATATGGCAATAGGCTCACCCCCTATTACATGGGACTCATAACACAAATAGTGTAAAGTGGGTGTTACATTGTACAGTGGCATTAAGTGCCGCATTGTGCACCTCTACCTACCCCATCGGGGATAAAAGGCGTGATGTTTAGTTACCTTTTTATTTTGATAAAAGAAGGCAATAATGTACTTAGCATTATTTCTCTCAGCCTACCCTTTGTACATTATTTAGAAATCTTTACCGAGAACGTTAACAAAACATTACTTACATTACTTTCTTCCTAATGCATTAAAAACAGCATACAAAGAAAATAAGAGAAAAACATAAAAGCAACACGCATTGTTGTTAGTTTTCCAAAGAATTCTTTAATAAAACCACACAATCGGGCACTCGGCATTATTCCCGATACGACAATAAACTGAATACTGTACCTACTATAACATAAGTACGTGCCTTCCGCCATCTTGTTTAACACATACCAAGGAAGGTTATATATATAAATATAGGTAGGTATGTAGCAAAAAGATTTATCGTAAACCAGCAGTCTGTCTTTGCCTTTAGCCAAACACCACTTTAGCACTTGTCTAGAGAGAGTAGAAATCAAAATGTATAGGGATGTCACTGACAAGTGTCAAAATTTACGTCAATTCCATATAGTTTTGGTTTTCTATTCTAAATGTAGACAAGGGCTAAATGGCATTTGGCTACAGCTACTGGGCCTTTAGCCAAACGCCATTTTAGCGCTTGTCTACAGAGAGAGTGGAAATCAAAATGTATGGGGATGTCACTGACAAGTGTCAATTTACGTCAATTCCATATAATTTGGTTTTCTATTCTACAGCTGCTGAATTTGTAGTTTTATCGATATCTTTTAATGATATTGTGAATTTAATCTTTCATTCAAAATTTTCAGAGCCAAAAGAATATAACCGTTTCGGTGCAGTTGTTGATGTGTGACAACCAAGCAACCACCTAATCACGGGTCGAATATGATATACATAGGTCTCTCTCAGTTTTTGATATTTTTTAAGTGAACTCTGTAATTGTCCCTGTATAATGCAATACACCCCGTATCTCATATGTTCTAGATATAACTGGTATAAAATGAATGTTCTCTGTGCTGGAAAAGCCCTTTGGTCAGCAGTGGCTCATATCTATAAGCGGTTGATGTCATTGATGACGTGAGATGAGATTTAGATAAAATATTTTGAACTACACAGATACATAGAGATGTACCCACGATGTACCAATAATAATGCGTACCAAGATATTTGGTATTATCGTCACGTCTTTACATTACGTCACCCTCATGCCATACTGACAAGTTTATTGATACCGTAAATATATTTTTATATGTATATTTTCGGTAAAATATTCTTGTTTTCTTTTCGTAAGACTATAAGCTTGATAATAATGAGATAGTTACTAAAAGGTATCTATCAGAACAAGTAAAGACCTTTAGCGATTTATTGGTTTTTGTTGAAACATGTATGTATGAAAGTATTGTGTAATGACGCACGTACCATAGACGTAATTAGGTTAGGAAAGGATATATAGCTATACAGATAAATAAAATTGGAGTGTCTCTCTGTAATATCAAAATAATCTTTGGAATGGCTCGACCGACTATGACGGGATTTTTATAGGCTAGCTGATGTATTATTTCTTTTTTTTTGGAAATATGAAACAAAAAAAGATATGTTCTAAAATTCATATTCTACGCGGACGAAGTCGTGGGCAACAGGTAGTCTAATTAATAATTGCTGTTAGTTAGCCTAACTTAACACTCACTCACCTGTGGTAGATATCTATATATATAAAAATCAATGCCACTTTTCGTTGTAATTCCATAACTCAAGAACGGGCTCACCTATCCAAACCAAATGCTTAGGATTTGGTCGGCATATTTAGTAGATGGTTTATGTGAAGTTTGCACAAAATCGGTCGAGCGGTTCCTCATTTGTCACATTTTTTGTAATAAATGAATTCAATAGAAACTTTTTTCACAGAAACTTTTTTGAAGTTTTGTTGACAGGACAAGCACGTTGTTATGTCATTCATGCCGTCAGTTCATTTTGGACGTGGTTTGATTAAAGCATATTATCAGCGATAAATTTCTTTTCACATAATTGCATTTGCAGTGCATTCATACAAACGGTGAGTCCTGAATTTATGTGTACTTTTCTAAGTTGCCGTATATGATTTCACATAGCATCATATGCGACAGCTTCTTGGGAATTTGTTTTTTTTTTTGTTCTAATTTTTTTTTTCGATTTTTAAGCGAAAACATATGTGCATACGGGAAAAATGCCACCAGCCAGACGAGCAAATATAGGTCGGCGAACGCGTAATGCAAATGATGTGGCATTACTAAGACGATCACAGACTGCAGATGAACGCGCACAAGCTAATGCATCGCAGCGTGAACGTAATGCACGCAATGGATTTGTTAACCCAGTACCTGTACTGAATCTTGCACGGCCATCACGAATACGTCGTGCTGTTTTGGCTGAAATGATGCGTGCTGCTTTTAATTACAACAGTCAGATTGATTATAGTATGTATGGATACATTGGAATGATGGACGCAATATGTCCACATTGTGATGCGGCTAACTTTCCAGGTGAAACGCCCGGCATGTGTTGTGCTAATGGCAAAGTGAGATTGCCAGCATTAGAAACTCCACCCGAACCATTGTATTCATTTATTTTTGGGACATCGCAAGCGTCGAAGCACTTTCTGAGTCATATTCAACAATACAATTCGGCATTTCAAATGACTTCTTTTGGTGCAACTAAAATTATTAGAGATAATTTTATGCCGACGTTTAAGGTAAATACTTCAACAGGATTATTCCATGTTTGTATCAATCTGAAGCATAAAGTATATTTAAAAAAAAACTGATATAAGATTTACCTAAAATTGTATACATGTTACAGATTCAGGGCCAGATTTATCATCAAGCTGGTTCGTTATTGCCATACCCCGACGCTGATCATCAATTTTTGCAAATTTATTTTATTGGTGATGAAAATCGTGAATTGGATCAACGTTGTGCAATTGTTTCGAATACAAGACGAGAAATTATTCGTGAGCTACAAAGGTTTTTCCATCAGCATAACGCATTAGTTCAATTGTTTAAAATTGCTCTCGATCGTATGCCAACTGATAATCACAAAATCGTAATAAGAGCTGATAGAACACCTTTTGGAGAGCATGCAAGGCGATTTAATGCACCAACAATTGATGAGGTTGCAATTGTAATTCTTGGTGATCAGTTTCAATCCCGTGATATTGTACTTCATCGTAGAAATGAGCAATTGCAACGTGTTTCGGAACTTCATCGTAGTTACGATGCATTAAAAAATATTGTTTATCCAAATGTTTTGGATTAAGTGTGTTGTAAATAGCAATTGATTTCGATTTTAAATAAAATATTTTTTTGATTAAATAAATGAATTTGATGTTCCGATTTGTTTATTTTATTTCACTTTATACGTAGCGAAGCACGTACCGGGCCGCTAGTTTTATAATATTTTTACAATAAGGATAGTTATGACTAAATATTGTAATGAGCATTAATAGAGAATAGAGAATAGTCTATTTTTATTTTAGGTAGGTACCATATTCAAATATATATATTAGGTATATAAACCTAGTTTATGTAAAGAAAATCGTCGATTTATATTGACTTAGTTATTAAGTTGATAGAAAGTTGAAATCTCAGCCTGTACTACCGAAATATAATCGAAAACTTTTTCAATTTGTTCTGCTCAAGTTATTCTTATTTACATCTCATTCTTTTGGTACCTTTACAAATATTTGTACCGAAGTTTAATAATTATATGTACTTACGTATGTAGTATGTATGTGTAAGTTGTGATGAATTTTTCTTGATGAATTCGATTATGTAGTGCCATTGTTTGTCGATGTTATACTAATAATCATGTAATACAATATACCGAATAGATTCTGTAACAGTGATAATTTTCGAAAATTCAAACACAATTTTATGCCCGAAGCAGGAATCGAACCCGAGACAGAGGTTATTAGGTTTGGATAACCAGGCAGACAGGCAACAAGCAAGTAGTCTCAATTGCGTTCTCTCGATCAATGAAGTGGTTAAGAATTAAATTGTCAAAAACCTTAAAAACACTTTTAAATGTTAGAAGCCTAAAAATAAGAATGAAAAATATTAAAACTACTTATCAATTTTAGCGACAAAAGTAATTTCATAAATCTTTTCGATGGACGCGCGTATGTGATATTAAAGTAGGCAAAAGTCTTAACGCCATACTGTCTATCGCATGATTAAGTAGCCATAATAACCATGTTTATTGAGTGCTAACTGAAGGTTGCGTTTTAACCAAAACTATTGTGTAAGTAGGTTTTTATACAAAAAGGGACTTATTACCTTCTTAAATTTAAAGGCATAGCTGATTGTTATGACATTTTTTTATGGAATAGGAGGCATTCTTTTTTTTTTTTTTTTTTAAGGGGGGAAAATCATCGAATGACTGCCCCCGCCTGGGTGAGGCGGGAGGGAGTGTCAGACTCTTACTGACTAAAAACCACCCCGTTCCTTCTCCTGCACGTCGAGCCGGAGCCCCGGTTACCCGTTAGGTTCTCCGCGACTCCGAATCGGCATCGGCCCTATTGGGCCCCATCTGTGGTGGTCTGATGGCTCTTTGAGGCGCGCGCGGAACGCGACGCGCCGTACGCTCGGGTCTGTTTCTGGTCGGACGGGGAGCCACCCATGCTCGCCGTCCGCAGGCCCGCGCTTACGGTGGCCGGAGATCGTCCCGCGATCCCCGACGCCCGGTGTGTCCTTCGCGATGGCTGGGTTGCGAGGAGGCAGCGCTTCGCTGCCTCACGCGTCCCGCCTCCTCCTTAGCTAGCATGACTGCTTCGCAAAAGGAGGAGACGGCATCCCAATCCCCCTCGCTCCGCATCATGGCCTGCACTAGGCCCGGACGCGAGAGGTCGCCATCGCCGATCACTATGGAATAGGAGGCATACGAGTAGACGGATCACTGATCAGCGATCAACGCCGCCCATGGACACCCGCAACAACAGAGGAGTCATAGATGCGTTGCCAGCCTTTTAAAAAGAAATAAGCTCTTTTCTTGAACGTTTGAAGGTCGTATCGGTTCGGATATACCGCCGACGACAAATCATTTCACAGTTTTGCTGTGCGAGGCAGAAAGCTACGTCAGAAGCGTACTGTTGTGGCCTGCCCACCATCAATATGATGGGGATGCATATGCTGCCATGAGGGTCGATGGCGAAAAGATGCGGCAGGTATCAGGTCAAACAATTCTTCAGAGCACTCCCCTTGGTATAAGCGATAGAAAATGCACAACGAAGCTACATCTCCACGCATTGCCAAAGTGTCTAGCCGGTTTGAAACTCGAACGCATTCGAAGTGTGTTTTTATTTATTTATTTAAACTTTAATGTACACACAAACAAGTAATGGTACATAAGGCGGACATTAATGCCATATGGCATTCTCTCCCAGTCAACCTTAGGGTTAAAATGGAAATCGGCGAAGAAAAAATAGGCATGTGTAATTTTTAGTGCTAATAAATACAATTTTCGTGAGACGGTCGCTACCAACCAACCCAAGTAAATTAATGCACTTTTTTCTTATTACCTGTGGCACAAACCTGTTATTTAAAAAAAGATAAATTTTTCCCTAACCTTTCTCTATGCATAGCAACACGAGTAAAATTATCGTATTGTAAAGCACATACAAAACAGATAACATTATGTTAATTTAGGGGTACAATGGCGGATGGCGGCCTTATCGCGAACAGGAAACACAATATTTGAATAATAAGTCGTTTTGTTCATGTTTCATGCTTGCGTAATTACTTAGAAAACATAACGAACGTTATATTTGTTTTACAAATATATTTTTATTGGTAGGAACAAAGCTTTCAACTGGCCTGGTATTTGACTGACCCATAGCCTTAGTACACCCACAATATTAAATAAATTACGAACCGTATTTTGCGTACACGACTTTAGACCATAAGGAATAACAAAGTATTCCTTTGCCTTCCTTTTTTCTCCTCTCACTCAATTTTAAGTCGCGCTTTGACTGCCAATAAAAAACTGTTGAAGGTAAATCCTCTGCTAACGCCGGTCACCGGTGACCTCCATGGCGTTTAAAGTGTTAAGTATAGTTCTGTCACTACAAATTATTTGTAAAATGACAGGGTTTTTTTAAGGGGGGATAATCATCGAATAACTTCTTCCGCCTTTGTGAGGCGGAAGGGAGTGTTAGACTCTTACTGACTAAAAACCACCCCGTTCCTAATCCTGCACTTAGAGTTGGAGACCCGGTAACCCGTTAGGTACTCCTCGGCTATGAAATGACAGGGATGGCACGATATTTAGGTACAATTTAAAATTAAGTAACCTTTCAGTATCGAGCGTTAGTTTTTTAATAATGTTTAGATATTGGTGTCACATGAGAAGCTAACCAACTGTTCCGATACTGAGCGAGATGATAGCAGAACCAATAAACGTGTATCGTGTATCAAGCGAATTTGAGCCGGAACTAGCAGCCGGATGTAATTAAAGTACGACCAGATACTATAAACAGATATTAATTTGTAATATTCAGCGTATAATAATGTTTATTTATAAGTGTGTTTGCTGTATCGCTATTAAACTGTCAAACACCAAGCGGTCACCGGTGACCGCAACCTATTGTTCTATAATTGTGTCTACAAAACCGGTACTCGACGAATTAATCATAATTAATTACTTAGATAAATAAAAAAAACATGCATCTATGTGGTCTTTTTAAAAGATGCAAATTTTATTTATTTATTTATTTATTTTGGTTAACCAACAATTGTTTACACTATATACATTACTGATTAAAAAGCTGTAGAAACATTTACAAGTGCAACAATTAATTATAGGTTAACACCACATGCAAAAAATAAAACGATAAACAAAACATACAGAAAAATAACAAACGATTCCATAGGAGCATATCAATGTCAAAAAAGAAAAGAAAAAAAATACATTAGGATGTCAATTCAATTACTAATTATATAAATACGGAATTATTGGAACATTAAATTTAGTTACAGTTGTATAAATTGTGCTACAATTATTGATAAATTAAACTTAAAATAAAATCAGTAAAAAAAACAAGATTACAAATAAAAAAAAATCAAATTAATTAAATTAAACAAAAAAAAAATTCAGTTATTCATTTTTACATCATTTACAAACGCTCGTATGAATTTATTTATACTGTCGTGGTGTACATCCACTAAATCACCACGTTCATTAAGGATTCTGCATAATCTAGGTATCGGGGAATTTGCACCAAGCACGGATTTCCGAAATGGCGGACACAGGGGTGTAATCTTATTCCTCGGACGTCTAGAAGGCGCATGAAATCTAATAAGCTTTAATAAAGCAGGACAGTCGATCTTATTGCGCAACAGTTTGTAGAGGAACAACACATCAGTTATGTCTCTACGCATAGACAATGACTGTATTCTGAAGTGGTGCAAACGGTCCTTGTAGGACGCCAGACGCCTAGATTTCCCCTCGCTAAAGGCCAGATGCCACACAAAACGTTTCTGAACCCTTTCCAAACGCAACATGTGAGTGGCATAATGCGGTCTCCATACAACACTACAATACTCTATAACACTTCGTACCAAACTGTTATATAACATTATTTTGGTGCTACATTTACGAAAGCCTTTGGTATTACGAAGTAGGAATCCTAACATTTTTGATGACCTTCCAATAATGCTCTCGATATGAGACACGAAAGTGACCTTTTTGTCAAAAATCACTCCCAGATCCCTCACTTTTTCGACCTCTTGAACTCGCTCCTGATCTATGAAGTACTCCGTGTCGATGCAATGAATTTTTCGTGTGTACTTAACATGATAACATTTCTCCCGATTCAGTTGCATCTTATTATTATGGCACCATTCTATAACCTGATTTAGGTCGTGCTGCAGAAGTTCGCGGTCTTTTTCCGACTCTACTACTCGCGCGAATTTTAAATCATCAGCATACAAAAAGGGTTCGGAAAAACGAAAGCACTGAGGAAGGTCATTGATAAATACATTGAAAAGTATTGGAGCTAAGTGGGATCCCTGAGGGGCACCCGATGTTATTCTGTGCGCAGCCGATCGAAAACCGTTCACGACAACAAAAAAATCGCGTTCAGTAAGATAGGACCTGAACCAATTCAATAAAGGCCCCGTTACACCATAAGCTGCTAGTTTGTAAGTCAGTACAGAATGAGGCATCTTATCGAATGCCTTACTGAAGTCGGTATATACAACGTCCAATTGTTTGCCTCCGTCCACAGCCTGCATCAGTGACTCCGTGAAAGACACCAAATTAGTGGCTGTAGATCTAGATGCCACAAAACCGTGTTGATTCTCACTAAGATATAATCCCAAGTGTTGTTGAATGTACGGACACATAATGGATTCAAAAATCTTTGCGAAAGCAGACAGAATTGAAATTGGCCTGTAGTTGCTCACAGTATCTTTTTTATCTGCTTTATGCACGGGAACTACCTTAGCTGTTTTCCATTCTGATGGAAAAATTCCGGTAGTCAGCGATGCATTATATATTATCAGTAAGGGAAACACCAATGCACTGGCACACTTAGAAATAAAAATAGGTGGGATACCATCTGGACCGGGCCCCTTACTGATATTTACGGTTTTTAATTTTTTTAACAAGCTGTCGCGGTCAATCGCTGGTATACTCAGGCTCTGACTATTATTATGCAGTGCTTGGAGGTACTCTGTTTGGCAGTTAAATTCCTCACCATTATCAGTCGTGTATACTTTTGCGAAATAATTAGCAAAAAGGTCACAGATTTCAGAACCGTTAGACGTAACAACCTTTCCATCACTCATTGTCACAGGATAGCCACTAGTACCCCCGCGTTTCGCTTTTATGTAACTCCAGAGACGTTTAGGATTGTTTTTTATATTTGTTTCCATTCTATCAATATATTCATTATATAAATTCGTGGCTAACCTATCACACCGCTTTGTAATCAGCTTCAGTTCAATCCTATCCAAAGGATTCTTGTACTTCTTGTAACGCAACCTAAGCCTATTTTTCTCCCTTAATGATCGTATTAATACTTTATCAAACCACGGTGGATAGCGGCCATTGTTCGGCTTTCGATCAGGCACAAATTTCCCAATAGCATCACGCAGACACTTGTAAAAAATTACCACCATGCCACTCACATCATCTGCATCCCGGAAAAGCTCATTCCAGTTCAGTTCATTTAGGTAGTTGTTAATTTCAGAATAATTAGCTTTATAAAAGTTAGGTCTTGGGTTCATATTATATGGTAGGTTACAATTCTCCACCAAAGACATAGCAAGCTCAAGGGGGGGATGCAATTTATCGACAGCTACAAGAGAATTGCCTGACTCGCTCACTGAGCAGTTTGACTCTGTTGATAAGATCAGATCTAGTATTCGGCCAGAACAGTTTTTGACATAATTATGTTGTGATAGTTGATTTACATTAATAAAGTCCAATAGGTTTTGGCAAGCTCCCGGCAGAGAATCATTTACTGTGGTTCTATCCCAGTTTAATTTACTTAGATTAAAATCGCCAATTATGTAACAAGGGATCTTATTTGAGTCGAGCACTCTGTTGCAGCTATCAACAAAGTGATCCAGCGTTGCGAGACATACCGGTGGCGGAAGGTAGACTGCACAGAGAGCAACCTGGCGCGACCTGTGAGTTGTCGATATATCAAGTGTGACCCAGAGGTCTTCACAATTACTTTGCCAGTGCTCGATACTTGCGGAGTTAATTTTTTTATTAATTGCTATCAAAACACCTCCCCCGCCCTTGTTGTGTTGAAACCCAGTTGTTTCTCTGTCCCGCCTGTAAACCTCATAACGATCGTCAAACAATTCACTACTCAATACATTACCGTTTAGCCAGGTTTCTGTTAACACTATAACATCATAATTCATATTGCCCAGATTACAGTAAAAAGTATTCGTTTTAGTTCGTAAGCCTCTGCAATTTTGGTAATAAATGAAAATGTCTCTGAATTTTGTGCTGGTTAAGACTAATACATGCATTAGATAATAATAGTAAAAACAACCACCACACACACGTCAGTCTTCACACAACTTTTTCAAGACTACTATTATTTCTAATTTGTATATACTCCGCGCCCTCAGTTTTCCTCATAAATATTTTGCCGTTTCTGACCCACACGTATTTATAATTCTTCTCTTTAGCTTTTATCCTTGCAGCTGCATGAAGAGCTCTGTTTGTCCGGGACAGATGTTCTGCCACGAAGACCGGTGACTTTGGTCCAGCGTATCCCAGGTGTGAACAGTTCAGTTTTTCTTGAGGGTTAGCCTGATTGAACTTAATTGTTGCTGCCAGAAGTTGATCGCGCATCCTTGGTGATGCCAGCTGAATGATAATGGAGCGAGGGCGACTACTTGATGGGTTGGCTTTGGCAATACGAGTGCAGTGTAATACATCTCTTTCATTAATTTCGCAGTTCACCACACGAGCAAGTTGAGTTACTACGCTGTAAATATTTTCATTTTTATTTTCCGGCACACATTGCAACTCTATGTTGTTCGATCTTGATTGTTGCACTAGATAAGCGAATTCATCCTTGAGTTCTTCTATTTCGACCTTGAGATTTGCGTTTTCCAATTCCAACTTTGCGGTAATTTCTTTAGACAACTCATATGCCTTCATAATGTCTTCAAATTTCTTATTCATGAACGACATAGACTCGACAATATCCGCCACTTCCCTCCTGATTGGTGCCAGTTCCTTGCCAATCGTGGCGACAATAGTGCTGCTAAATTTTGCGGACATCTCACTAAATTCATGTTTTAATACTTCTCTTATAACGGAACGCAGTTCGTCGTTATCTTTAGTCGGGGAAGGAGGCAAAAGCGGAT